AAGTAGGTGCTTTAGACCACTGAGCCATCTCTCCAGCCCCTATAGCTACATTCTCTTAATTCAAGGAACAGAGGGATTTGTTCTAATAGTGTTTGTAAACAGGGTATCATTTTTGCATCTTGTACAACAAACAACCACTAGGAAAGCAGTATGCAATGTGTTAATTATTGGAACTGTCCTATCAATTTAATTTGAAACTGTCTCATTGCTATTTATTTCTCAATAAAATTATGGAAAAAAAAAGATTGCAATAAGACACTTTGTCATTAATTCCCTTCAAAATAATCTCCCTTCCTTCAAACACATTCACGCCATTGTTCTTGCAGCTTTCTTTTTGGTTCTATTTTGTCTTACAATGTAGTTCAAGCTAGCCTTGAACTGGTGACCTTCCTGACTCAGCCTCTGAATGTTGGGATTAGAGGCGTGTGCCACCATTCCTGGTTCATTCTTGCTACTTTCCGGAAGCAGTTCTGAAGATCCTCTTTCCTTTGTTTTTTGACACAGGGTCTTTCTATATACTTGAGGCTTGCCTTCAACTAACTCACTATCAAGCCCAGGCAGGCCCCAAACTTGCTATAGTCCTCCTGCCTCAGTCAACTTGAGTGCGGGAATTATATGCATGCACCACCATTCCTGGCTGCAAGTCCTTTTTCTTGAGTGTCTTTATTAGCTGAAATGTCATGGCCACCTTGGTGTCCTGAACTGATTGCAAACATTTATCTTTCATCGTCACTTGGCTCTGGGAAAGGCAGACGAGAGAAGGTGCCAGGTAGGGTGACTACTGTGACTACAGTGTGACTATGCCACACTACATGGGGGCTGCCTTTCTCGTCAAATGCCAGCACTCACCACAATTCTCAGCATGCCTCACGAAGACATGGGTGTATGCAGAAAAGGAAGAACAGAACAGGAAAAGAGTAACTGAAACAATTTTATCTAAGTAAATATAAACTGAGTATTATTTTATTTTATTTATTTATTTATTTATTTATTTATTTATTTATTTATTTATTTATTTATTTATTTGCGGAACCAGGGATTGAACTCAGGCCCTTAGCTATCTACCCAGCCCCTAAACTGAGTATTCTTACCCGCAACACTTAGGGACCAGAGGTATTTCAGGCTTTGGAGTTTTTCAAATTTTGCAAAATCAGAATAGAATTTACTGAGCAGCACCCTTAATTCAGAATTCTGAAATGTGAAACTGGAAAGGCACACTGCCCTATGTCACAAGCCTTTTTATACTGTATGTAGCCACTTAGCGTTTGAAAGCATAACACAGAAAATAAGACCGGAACTCACCATTTTTTTGGCATGTTCTTCACACAGCGGTGTCTGGTGTGTGATGTCAAACACTGGCACCGAGCACTGCTGCCCGTCTGCAAATTTAGCGGTGCAGCTGGAGAAGAGCTGCTGAGAGTGGTTCAAGAGGATGTCTGGGTTTTGAGGTCAGGGTTTAAATACAACGTTTTACTTAATTCTTCATTCTACATAAAACATTACCTCCCTTGCTTGTGTTTTGTAAATGTGCACTTTCATCATCTACAAAAGCTAGGACCAGGGATATAGCTCAGTGGTACGAGGGCCTGGCTGGCAAGCACAAGGTCCTGCATTCCATTCCCAGTACCAAAACAAACAAAAGCTCAATTACCAAGTCAGTTACTGACAGGAGGAAATGCTAATAATGAACCTGTCAGCATGCTGTCAAGAGAACCTTCTGGAAGAACCCAACAGGCTCCTGATACGGTCTCCTTGAAGGTGACAGAACCGTCTCAGTTACTTAAAGAAGCCTGACCACTTGTTAACAAACTACTAAAACTTCCACTGTAACAGATTTAAAAAGAAAATCTGCTTAGGAATCTCACTGAAGAGAATAAAAATTTAAAGACATTATTATTAAAACACACCTGTCCAAAGTTTAATATTTTTCATTTCCACTACCAAACTCAAATTCACTATTTATTTATTTATTTATTTATTATTTTTTGTGTGGCCTCAGATTGCCTCCAGCGCTGCTCTGGATTGCCTTGAGTATCTGGGTATTGAACCACAGCTCCCTGAGGCTGACTACTTTGTTTCAGCAGGCACCTAACAACTGGGCTAATGGGCAGGCCCCTCAAATTCACAATTTATTAAAAAAAAGAAAAAAATTAAACCAAATATTACTCAAAATAGGAGCATCAATTTTCCGTCATCAACACTTGGAGATTCATGCTCTTAGCTATTGTTCTTTCTAATGTCTGTTTTCTAGGCTAGAAGGGTGGCTCAGTGTAGAGTAACTGCATATTAGGAAGCACTAGACCCCCATTTGTTTTCTTAGCATCACAAAACACATCAATCAATCAATCAATACAGCTTTTTTAAAGAATGTATTTAGTACAAGGTCTACAGGGTCTCACTACACAGATTGACTCGTAGTGATCCTTCTGTTTTCAGGCTCCCAACTGCTGGGATTACAGTAGCGCCACTGCTCAGTCCTGCCACTGCGCCACCATGCACAGTCTCAACTGCTGTCTCTGAGTGCCCGGGGGCGGGGCTAGTAGAAAACAGCTTATTTTCTATCTCATAAAAAAAATCTTTGTGTTTTTCCTTTATTGTATACAGTTACTTATAAAACCTTTTTCATATAGAAACTTTGGCCAAAAAGGTTATAAAAATAGTCCCAAGAAAGGAAAGAGGGCAAAACTCAGTGTAAAGAAGAGTGCCTAACTGCTACCATATAATTTTTTAAAAACTTAATTAAAGTATTAGTAACAAATTTCACAAGCTTCCTTTTTTTTTTTTCTTTTTTGGTGGAACCAGGGATTGAACTCAGGCCCTTGCACCTGCCAGGCAAGTGCTTACTCTACTGAGCCATCTCTCTGGCTCCTTCGCAAGCTTCTAATGTAAGTCCTCAAGTGTATCTTAAAGTACCTTCTTTCTTAGCCAGTGACATTTGTGAGCGAGCTTCCTTGCCTGCTTGCCTCTTGTTTTTTGAGACAGGGTGTCCTATGCAGTTCAGGCTGATTTTCAGCTTGCTATATAGCCTAGGCTGGCCTTTAACTCATGGCAATCCTCCCGAGTAGTGAATGTTGAGATTACAAGCATGCACCAACATGCCTGACCTGTTATTTTTATTTCACACAAGCACTGTACTCATTACAAAGAGCAATTTAATCCTGTAGCATAAGGCATGGTGTGAAACTGTCACTGTCTTAGAAGACTAAAATTTGGATTTTTAAACACTATGTTTTGATCTTTCCATCAATAATTATTATAAGGGCTGGCCAAATAGCTCAGCGGATTAAAGCACCTGCAAACAGGCACAGGGGCCAGGGGTTCAATCCCTGGGCCTGCCCTGCTGGCCCCACCCTTGGGGTGTCCTGAGATGGTAATTGAGACTGGGTATGGTGGCACAAGCCTGTAATTCCAGCTCTTGGGAAGTGTATACAGGTGGATCACTACTAGTCCAATCTAGTAGGGAAACCCTGAACACCCTATAGATCCTTCCCTAAAATACAAAAATAAATAAATAAATAAATAAATAAAATCTTTTTATGTTAGAACCTAATTTTTGAATCGATTTTGTTTACAAATCAGTTACGACTTCGTTGCAATTCAAACCTCTTTTAGACTCTGAATCAGGTCCTTACCACTTTAAAGACAACCAGAAATCAGATCTCAGGTCTACTTAAAAAAGAACAGAAGGGGCAGGGATATAGCACAGGGGCATAAGCACTTGCCTAGCAAGCGCAAGGTCCTGAGTTGATCCCCGGTACTGGGGGAAAAAAAACCCAAAAAACAGAATAGTGCAACTTACACATTCCTGTTCTTTCCTTTCCCAGCTCAGTGTGATGGAATGAAACGTGAAAACAAATTTTAAAAAGATTACAATGATAAAAGCACGAAAAAAAGACATTCAGAGGATGTAATGAAAATCAGTTATGGTGCTGGTGAGATGGCTCAGTGGTCTAAAGCACCTACTTAGAACAAGCTAAGCAAAGCACAGGGACCACGGTTCAATCCCCCAGCACCACATGCCAGCCAGCCCCGCCCCCTGGTGGGCTGAGCTGGCCACACACAGACACAAAATAAATAAATAAATAAATAAATATTAAAAAAAAAAAAAAGAAAATCAGTTACATGAAAATTATTTCAAACGTTAATTTGATTTCAAAGTCATTTCTTTCCTTGATTTAGAAATGGAGTACAGTCATCTCTAGCAGTAGATAGAGCATTACAAGCCCTGTGTTCAACCCCTGCAAATACACACACATAGACACACATGCAGGTACAGAGTGCCAAGCAAGTTAATGCCCTCTCAATGCTAATCAAAGGATACGCTGGAAACAATGTCTGGTGAATGGAAGGGCTCTGTTCGTGCACTGTTCACCCTTCATGGTTCCACTGCAAGCTGTGGGCTCTAACTCCTTCAATTTGGTCCGGCTTATGCTAAAAAGAAAATACTACAGTTAGTTTTTAAAAAATACTCCACGAGTCCAGATTAATTTTTCAACATTCCACACTACTCTGGAACTCTCAGTTATTACAATGTAAACAGGAGCTAAAGAGCAGGCTTTACAACCACTTATGTGCTCTTTTCCTCATCAACTGATATTCAGAGCCAATAACCACATCTGCATCTGTTTTAAATATATCTGTTATTTCCAAGTGATATTCTGGTGACTTTTACTTCATAAAGTGACAGGAAAATGATGATACAGGAGCCCCGAATCAGACAGATCCGCTTGTAAATTTTGGCCCTACGCTGTCCTGAATGCTGGCTAGACAGCATGATTGTTGTGAGCACCAAAAGCTAAACACAAACAAACCACTTCTATACAGAGTGCAGTACACAGCCACAGACTATCAATCACCATGGTTACCATCATTAGGGCACCCCCTTGGGCTGCCAGACAGCAAAGCTTGGGAAAAGATTTGTATGTAAAAGGAGGTCACCGAGATGCAAAAATGGTTGAGTTGCTCTCACCCTCCAAAATGTGCTCTCCCCATTTTGGTTTTGGTTGACGCTGTCCTGTTATATAGTCCAGACTAGTCTTGAACTCACTATGGAGCCAGGCTGACACTGAACTGGCAGTAACCCTTCTGCCTCAGCCTCCTGAGCACTGATATTACACACATGCATCACCACGGCAGGCCAGACATGCTGTATTTTGTAACTTTCTATTAAAGGTGCACCTCACGTACTGTGCTATCCTCACTTTGTTCCACTTTTTTTCTTTTT